CGCCTACATGAGCCCGAAATTTCTGGCATTGAAAAATCCCCGTAAGTAGTAAGCGCAGTGAGAGATTATTAACACCACCAACACGTTGTGATACTAAAATCACTTCTACTACTAATTCATGCTCTATCCTACCGTACCGACCTAAACTCTAAACTGGCTCAATCGACTGTCCAGACTTGACTTAGACTGACATGTCCTGGGCTGCAGCGCTCCGCTGGCTTGTTCCCTCACGGTTACCAACATAAAAATACCCCCGTCACTTGACTGCGTTGGACCGCGTACACGGCTTTTTCTGACGATGAACGGGGAAAGCTCAGGGTTTTTCTCTCTCGTTCCGAAAAGACTTCAGTTATATTTTCATAACCGTTTTAATAATTTACGCGCTCTTGTCGTCCCTGTACTGAGAATACGTGAAGAGCCAGAAATCAGCGTTTTGGCCCATAATCGGTTCTTCCCGGACGTCCAAGGTCTCGGCGATATTTAAGAAGATGACGTTGCCAGGTAGGGTGCGGAACTCGTTGGGCGTCCACTTGCCTTCGTGGTCTGGCCCGGGGTCGGGGATCCTACGTCAAGAAAAGAATAAGAAGGCGAGTGAAAATATATTAAAAGGGGCGCCGCCGCACTAACAACAATTCGTGAAAGTGCCGGTACTGGTAAAAGCTCTAGAAAAATGCCGTGGGAATGAACTTAAATCGTTAAGCAGCGAGATTTTAAAATACTACTTGCTAGGAAACATTGTCCTGCAAAAATTCTTTAATTTGAGTTTACACTAAGTTTCTCACATACTGCTCCACGCACAAAAGATTTAAAGCCCTTGTAAGGCAAATTCTTTGTATCACAAACAATTAAAATGAAGTGTTTGTCATGTGTCTGCTAGTGATTCTTTGAACATTACAAACCTAATTCTTTGGAGACGAACACGCTGTGAAAAAATGTCCTAGAAAATTCACAACATAGGTATTTGTTTTAATTCCCAAAATATTGCTTGTCGATCATTTCCAAATCCATACGCTGGCCCAACATACCATACATCGAAAAGGTATCGGGAAAAATTCGAAAATATGTCGAAGTTCAGAAATGTATCGGAATCGAGGTGGAAACGACTAAGGTAATCCGGCTGACAACCATTAGGTAATCCGGCAGGTGTAATCCGGGGTAATTCGAAAAACTCCACGGTAATCCGGGGAAAAATTTAGGGTAATCCGGGAAAATTTTACAGTGATCAGGGGTAATCCTAGAGAAAAAGCAACGAAATCCGGAGGATACTCCAGAGGTAATCCGGGTGACGCGTAATCCAGCTGACACAAAGTTTAACAGTCGTTTCCCCCTCGATCGGAATAATGTCGGAAACTAGTCGGATCTCGGTTGTACAATGTCGGAGATCGGGTTAACTCCGGATGTCTGACATTGGAGGTCGGAAACCACCGACAAGAAGCTTGTCGGAAAGGCGGATCTTCGGTTGTGGAATGTCGGAGATCGGGTTATCCTCGGATGTCCGAAATCGGAGGTCCGAAAACTACGTATTTCGGAGAGCAGCCGAGGTATAGGATGTCGGGATGTCTTATGTCGGGGATGTCGGATATCCGAATGTCGGACTTCGGAAAGCGACCAAGGTGCGGGTTGTCGGAATGACCGAGCCGGATGTCAGACCTCGGAGAGCAGCCGAGAAGTGGGATGCCAAGATGACAATACCGACTTCCGAAAGCTTATATCGGAAGTGGGGATTAGACACAATCCGAAATAAATCCAACATATTTCCGACGTTGGTAAAATGTCCAAATCATGTTGATACACTGTCGGAACAGATGTCGGAATTATGTCGAAAAAATAATGTCTCACCGGGCCACCAGGGCCACACAAAGTGCACACCTGAAGATTTTTTCCGTAATGCTACCACCACTTTTCACATAGAGACACTGCTGTTTGCGAGGTACTAAGAGTGAACGACGAAGTTCGCAACATTAACATTTGCGAACCAAATCTATCTGGAGTTAAGGATTTTTTTAACGGTGTTGACCGTAGTGCAGCTCACCCGCTTCTGATGTACGACGACCATATTTTGACCATCCGGCGCAGCGTGTCCGACGCAAGGCCATCACCCTCGAGCCGCTGTTGAAGCACGCTCATCTTCCAAAGGTAGCCCAGCTCATCAGAGTGCACCGCCCCGCCGGTCGCCTGCGCCGGATCCACTAAGTTAGAGGTGCTGTAGTTGGCCCGGACGGCGAAGCGGTACACGTAAGTCTGAGACCGGTGGCTTCGCGCCCGCAGCTCTGCCAGGCGATTCATATCGGTGCCTATGACGATGTCGTCGAGGTACTGTGACATAAAAAGAGGCGGATGTAGCAATAGTCAGTGATGGGTCACGCCGGTCAAAAGTAAACTATTGTACCAATTTAAAAACGCATGTATCGTCGCAAGCGGAGTTGTTGTATCGAAAGAAATATTGGTACGTCTTCGCAACCGCCCTCTCTAAGGTATATTTGTTGGTGAGCTTTAGGTAGGCAGCCGTATCAGTTGATGGCTTGACGTTCTTTGGGAAAACGGTGTCCAGGTGCGCTATCCTGAAGCGCATATAGTCAGGCCTCGCAGCATACCCTAAAAGAATAAAATTCACGGCAGATGTCAAAATGGATTTACTTCATATTTCTGAATCGTCGTTGGATCACTTCATCAAAATTTGTCGAGCCTCACCGTAATAGTAAAAGCTGAAGAGCCACTCCCGCGAGTTCATTCCCATAAATATTGGAAGTGGGTTCTTGTCCGCTAGGATGTACTTCTCGGGGTCCTGGGTAATTAGCGGCGCCTCGTATCCATCGTGTGGACTCCTCCGTTCCGGTGAGGTGGCGAAGGGGATCTGTGTCGCATTACTCTGAAAGCCAGAACGATATTTCAGTACATCGGTAAGCAGTTATGATTCATTTTTCTTTGGTGATTAGAGACGCTCACATTCATGCTGTCGTTCGCCAGTGCCACTGCGGCAGCCAGGATGTCCATGGCGGGGAGCTCCATAACAAGGCGCGCCACGTCCTGCAGACTCACGGTGCTGCCGTTAGTAAGGCGGGACCCCAAGTCCAGCGCCACGTCAAAGTTGTCCTCGTTGTACCCCCAGCTGTGGAGTGCCGACCCACTTTCCAGGATGACTCGATGTGCTAGGTCTGATCAGGCGACCCACGAATCAGACTGTTACTTTCTAAGTGTCAAAAATCGTCAGTAATACGAAACTACAATAATTGCGTTTTTCTGTCTCCCACCTTTGGGCTCGGGCAACAGAGACAACCAGTGCGCTGAGACTGCGCCGGCGGACTGGCCCCCTATGGTGATTAGGTCTGGGTTCCCGCCGAACGCATCAATATTCCTGTGAACCCACTGGAGGGCGGCGATCTGGTCCTTAATCCCAACGTTCCCGGGCACGACGTCGTTATCCAAGTTCAGGAAGCCTTCGAAAAGCAGGACGCGTGAATGTCAATGCAAAACATATGCGGTCAGACGAGACAGACAAACGAAAGTGAAAGTGTACAAGAAAGAAACGCCGGCCGAAAAAGGTGTGCGACCAGATGCAGTATACCGTGTACCGGCTGCCCCTTTCTCTCCGAGACTTATTTCCGACAGTCGCGTTAGACGCTAAACGTACCGAATGCATTAAGGCGATAGTTGATGGTGACCACGACCATATCATTGAGCATAAAGAACTCCGGCCCGAAGGTTAAGCTCGACCCCGAGCCAAACAGAAAGGAACCTCCGTGAATGAAAAAATACACGGCGAGAAGTTCAGTAGACTAGTGAAAAACAAAAGAGGGGGAGGGCTCTAGTAGAAAATAATGAAGCGAATACATTGCTGGTATAAAAGCTTCAAATGCTTACTTACGCCTTCGGCCCTCGGAGAATACACGTTAAGGTACAGACAGTCCTCAGACCCAGTCAACTTCTGGGTGTAGATGTCCTGCTGCAGGCACGCAGAACCCTCCGTGGTTGCATTCCGCACGCCTGACCAGCCAGCAGCGGGCAGCGGGGCCTTCCTTAAGAAAAAAGTTATGTAACGTGTGTAACTGACGACAAAAAGAGCAAATCCTTACTAATCTTACTCTCTTCGCAACGTCTGCGACCTGTTAAATCAGGCGCGCACCTCCACAGGGTTTTCGGTGTGAATTAATACTAGCAGATCAGTTACGCCACTCCATACTTCAGAAGTTATAAAAGTCAATGTGGCACATTTATTGTACATGCTCGTTGGAAACAGGCCAGTGAGTTGGAGAAAGAAATAATTCAGTTTTCTCAAAAGAAAAAGAAACATTTCTGAAATATTTCGTTTTTGCAGTCCTGGTTCTTTCCAAACATCGCTATTTACTGTACGCCGCGAATGATACCTTGAAGCGCAACTCTCCTGTAGGCGGCCGTGCGTACGGGATCCCTCGAAAAGCAGCGTAACGGATATTGTATTCAGGAAACTCCACCCACTCTCCCCGAAGTCTGCCCTCTATCACAGAGACTTCGGGAACGGCTGAGTCCGGTGTTGGGGCCCTGAGATCAAAAAAAGTGTATCACTACTATGATCGGGTTGGCCATATTTCTTGATAAGAAGTCACCGTACCGGGTGTAACTGAGAATGCGCAACAGTGTTGCGGGATTGCATACCCGCCAGGGCTGCAGGGGCCATTGCGCCTTACGGGCTAACTGGGTAGGCAAACCCGCAACACTGTTGCGCATTCTCAGTTACACCCGGTACACGCGCTACAAACATACTCATCACCCGGGTCACGAAGAGCGAAGTAGGTGGCTACCGCTACTGCGATGGCAACAATAACCACGACCCCAGCAATGATCCACACTAAGCAGAGATACAGGTATTATAAATGAGTTTTCGTACGATGAAAACTATAGCTTATAATCTAAACAGCAATAAGCTTAAGCGTGGCTGATGTATGTACTGCAGGGAAGGCACGGCGCGTCGGTCGAATCACGTACCCAGCTTCCTCCGCCGGGTGGGCGACATGTTATTGCCCAGGTGGTCAGGGCCAGACTGGCAAGCGTAGGCATGGCCATGCCGTGATGCCCAGTATCAGCAGCAGCCGATAGCAGAAGCCAAAAGTCCTTAGCTTACAGCTGGCCTTCTACTGATTGGCAACTGGCTTGTTTACTGTTAAATGTGAGGATTTGATACACTGTTAACTCAAATGTGATACTATTGTGGTTTAGCTAATGAAGAGAACAAGTTTAAAACCTTCACATTCTAGAGCACCCAGCTAGTCAAATTAGGCAATATCCAAGCACCCGGCGCTTTACCCGATATAAGCCACTGGGTGCCCTTCATTGTTTTGTTTTGTTAAAGTAAGGAAACGTGCCCTATATTAGCTAGAGCACTTGAGTTAACAGTGTACGCACAGTGAAAAGCAGAGCAGAGCTTATCAATCCCCTCACCTCACATGTAGCTTCTCTAGGCGGGAGAGCGTAATGTTGCCCAGTTAGTCGGAAAGGAGACTAACAAACATGGCGAAGTTCTGATGCCCGGTATCAGCCGCGATATATCAAAACTCAAGGGTACTAACTAGATGTGGGATAGGAACTAAACTAGCGGCCAGCAATGGCTCTCATCTTACAAGAGACAAGAAAAATCCTTTCCACTTAACAAAGGTAGCTTTCCAGGCGCAAGTCGGATGGGAATTGAAATTTTTCCTAAACATCAACCAGTATAGGGTTTACTTACACCCCTACACTTCTTCTTGTCCCAAATATTCATCTAGTGCCTGAACGTTAAAAAGAAGAGCGAAACGGACAAAATTTTGGTATACGCCACACGGTACTGTTTGTGAGGTTCCGGAAAAAATTGACATTCCAACCAAGTTGTTTACATATAACCCTTTTTTTTAAGATTCCGTTTTAAGGCGGTTAAAACACCTGTGAAGAATCCCTTCAAAGTGGCGATGGCGAAGGACAAACCGGACGGCCATTACCTTACAAAAAAATCTTAACAAAACATATTACGTCTCAAAGGAAACACGTTAGCATTAAACTCCGTCCTGGAGCCCAAACGCGTTCCAGTAAATGTATGCGTTATGAGACGGGACGGCGCAGCGCGTCGCTTCTTTTCTCGGTTGGACAAAAAGAGAGGCATTTCCCCCTGCAATATTAAAGCGGCAGCACAGCGCTGACGGCTCCCCTCCAGAAGGACACACACAAACATCATATAACTACTTCTGGATTCAAAAGGTGAATGTTTTTAGAGGCAGTCGCTTGCGTCCATCCTCCCTCTTCCCCCCTTCCCTTTTTGCCCCGGCCACGACTTACCCCTTTTATCTTTCCTGTAATTAACACTGCAGGTAATGTGACCGACGGAGGTAAAAAAAAAACAATGGTACGACGCTCGACACTGACAAAAAAATGTTTTGAATTATCAAACGTTTAAGTAACCAGGTGTTCACGCATACTGACTCAACCGGACTCAACCATCAACCCAGCTGACGACGGATAACAATAGATTTTCAGCCCAGGCGGCAGAAGGGAGAGTACTGCGCTGACGAAAAGGTTCCCAAATTACGATTAAATGCAAGCGCCCCTGTTGGTGTATGCGGGTGGGCGCACACGCACGAACTGACTCAACGACGGACCCGCGAAAAAGGATACAAACGGTTCCACCGTAATTTTCGCGGCAGTGCACTTTGTCGTGGTGGCGCCACGAGATTGAAAGCCCCGCTGTCCAGCAATCCCCTATCAATCAGCATGCCATTGAAAATCCGGGCAAGCGAGCCGGCCAGCTAGCCATGGGGACACACTGCACCGGCTAAACCGTGCCCACGGGTCAATTCCACGACAGGTCCTTTTTGTAAGGGAGAGGGGGAAGTGAGGGGAGGAGGGGGGTGAGAGTATAAAGGGGGCACCACAAAACAACCTCAGAGGTGGGGGTCGTACTGCAGCCCCTCCCGTGCATGCGCGCACGAACGCACACGTGCACAGTTAAAGTCTTACGAAGCAAAATGCCAAATGCTTCGTACCTACGAAGGATTTGCTCCCTACGAAGCGTCCAAATCCTTCGTATTACAAAGGATTTGGCATTTTTCTTCGTAAGACTTTAACAGTGTGGCTCGGTGCGTGCTCGTACGGACGGATAAAAAGTCAAATAAATGTGGAGGAACGCATCAAACGGGGACCCCTTGTCAGTCGGAGGAACGCCCTCCCCGGGCACTGCACTCCACCCGCCCAGCACCCCATGCCCCGCCCCGCCTTAAAGCCAAGGGGAAGCAGTGCAAGAAGAGCCAGTCTTAGTAGCATTTCGCGTGTGATTTCCCCCTTAGTGCATGCGCGCTCCCGGAGGGGCAAAGTACATGCTAAGCCGAGCCGAGAGATTTCACTCCGTCAGCTCTCAAAGTGCATGTAGCACCATCGCCCCCACGCACGCTGCGCACGCGTGAGGCGTTACACTGCGGGAAAAGGGCGCGGCAGAGATGGGACGAGTCAATGAAAGGAGTAGAAGAGGCAACCGAAAATCACTAAAGTGTGCAAACTTAACATGATTCTCGTTACGGCGTTGTTTTTGGCAAAGTCCTCTAACGAATTTCAATTATTACAGGCAAAATGTACCTAGCTCAGTCATTTTTGCAGTGTGACGAGCCGTTTTCGCGCCCCGGTGCACCATATGTGCCCGAGGGTCTCACGTCCCACCTCTCCTCCCACCCTCTCCCTCTCTCGTTCTCTCGTCGCCCGAGGGTCTGAGTGTAAGAGGAAGGAAGGAAAACATTTTCAAGAGGATTTTAGCGGTGTGCAGCGTGTTGTTGCATCAGTCGCTGTCATGCAGTGTAGTGTGCACGGATAAGTCGGCAAAGGGGCACCTCTCTCCTCGCATCCCGGCGAACCGCCAAAGTAGACGAGAAATAAGTAGTGGAGTATAAGGCGCTTGGCGTCTTGGGGTTGTACGAGAGGCCGCCTCCCGGAAGGAATCACTACATCCAGCCAAAAGAGAGAAAGAGGCGGTCAGTCAGTGGAGCCAACAAACGGAAAAATGAGGGCAATCGAGCAACAGGAGACATGGAGGAAGGCACCTCCACCCGGCCCGCCGGCCGTATCGACATTTCCGTTCCTGTTGTTGTTGTTGTTGTTGTTCCCCGGCCCCCTTCCGCCATAGTCAGGGTGGGGACCGTAATCAACTGCGCGCAACTCGCACCACTGAATTTCTCATCACCGCGGATTGCAACGTCGCGCTCTCGTCGGCCTTTCCGCGCGATAATCATAATTATTTGAATATGAATCACACTGCGTGGGGCGCACGCGGGGCAGGGCGGGCGCGATACGAGTGACAGCGCAGCGACAGTGACGCCGGCGCCACTCGGCCCTGTTCGAGCGCGAATAATCGCCCCGCTATTAGCACTATCGCGTCGTGATTAATTAAGCGGACAAGGGCGCAGTTTTAATGGCGGCCGGGCCATCCGACGCTTTGGCGAGCGGCGGGTGTGAAATCAACACACAGGCGACATTCGGTCACAATAAATCCAACAAAAAAAGTGAATCGTTGGAGTTCCACAGGTCTGCACACTAAAATCTTCTGAACTCGATTAACTTTCGGATTCATGTCAACATCAACCGCTCATGCACTTGTACAAGTGTATTAACGTTAATACACCAGTAGGAATACATGAGTTAAAATTGGTGTAGTAAAAAAATGCGTATAAGCTTTGCATGTTGACAAAAATCCGTAAGCCGTATGAATAAAAATAAAGTCCATAGAATTTTAGTATGTGTACCCGAGGATTATTCACATTGTGACCATACCATTTCCTGGTAAGTTGCCTTGCAGAGGAGGCGCAGGCGACTGACGTGTAATACGCGTCCGGCGGCGTGTGACACAACATTCCTGGAGACGCGACGCGCGGGACTCTTATCATTTTAAGGGAGAGAGAGAGGGGGGGGAGAGGGATGAGTGAGTAGGGCAGGGGGTGGTGTTGGAGGAGGCGTAAGAGAAGGGGGCACTTGAAAACTTGGTGATATTGTGAATAACTCAACGGGGCTTATTTGCAGTGCAGACAAGTTTGGCGTTTATTAAAGGGTGGGCGGGTGGCAGCCTTCGCCTCAACACCAAAGCAGCAGGGGGGCGAGATGAGGGGGACACGGGGAGGGGTACCAGACATGACAACGCCACAGTATACACAAGCCGAGGCCTGGACGGACAGATTCCACATCCTTACTTTTCTCGCTGCTTTTCAAGGTGACGCTGCAAAGTTTATAAGCATTCAAATTTTAACAAAAGGCAAAGATGGCAAAAATTGAAAAAAGAACAATTTGACAGTGTTGATGCTGGCGCTGCTGCTGCTGCTGCGAGAGCAGCGCCGATGAAAAGAGCGGGCGAGTGAATACACAAGCCATCGAGTGCGGACGGAATGGAAGAAAAATAGCGGCGCCATCGGGCGGCACAGCAGCAGCAGCAGCGCAGGCAGACCGCGGCTAACTAACCGCCCCGCACGCTGCTCCTCCGGCCCGTCGCTCTCTCCCTCTCTCGCTCTCCCCTCTGCTGCTCTCGCTCCTCTCCCTCTCTCGCTCCAGGCGCGCTGCTCTCCCGACCAACAGGCCGTGTAATGCCCCCATTTAAATGCTTCGACAGACCGGCTGACGCGTTATTTTTCACGGCGAAAGTGGCCCCCGTCCTCTCTGTAAAAGTACTTTTAGTGGTGAGCGAGCAGCAGCCGGCCGGAGGTCCTTAAGGATAATCACAGCCCGGGCTGTCCTTCCCCCCGATCTCCCTCGGCCATCTCTTCTCCCTCTCTCTCTCTCACCCCAGCGACATGACGGCTGTGCCCGCCACCCTCACGTCGTCCATTTCCTACGCCTTTGCACCGCCGGAAATGTGTTGTTATGTGCTGCTCGACGGGGTCCCTCCTCCTCCTCCTCCTGGCAGGCAGGCGAGGCCCCCGCAGGAGCAGCAGGATGTGTTGACGAAAAGGGTGGGTGGGCTTAAATTGAAATGTTTGGAAGGGAAATGCGGCAATCAGCAGTGTGACAGGGGGGAGCGGCGGCCGCTCACTCTAGTCCGCGCGGCACGGGAGGGCCCCGCTTGTCCCCCACGCGCGGCGCGCGAGCTAGGAGGAGCGTGCGAGCGTGCAGGAATGTGCGCGAACACGCTCGC